TAATCAAATAGAGGATAAACATCTTATTTTAAAATATAAAAAATCTAAAATATAATTAGGATAATTATCGAGTTCTAACAAAATAATTAATTATTATTTTTATAAGAAAATTATATTATTAAACCAAATATAAATTACTTCGTTATTGTACTGATATATGTTGAGAATTCAACATATTAAGCACTCGTTTTACGTCTTATTAGTTAAAATAATTTATTTTCATCCCCATTTTGAGTCATTTTTATTAATTTCTTTATACATTTGTTATTATGGAGCTAAATATTGTGGTTGGCTTGTTGGTACTCACGGATGAAGCTAATGGGGAGTTTTTGTTAAAACAGCAGGATGCTACAACATTGGTGCAGCGACGATCTGATACATGCACAACTTTTTGGAGGACTTAATGATTAAGACGCTGCCTTTTTGTAGTAATGGAAGACAGCTGTATAAGCTGACTTTTTGTTTAAAAACCTGTGGTTAAGACTCTTGTTAGATTATTGTACTTTTAGTTACTCTATTTTTACTTTGTAACTTAATTTAGGATGCTTAACCTCCAAGATTTGTATTTTTTGTCTTTTAGTGTCTCCTTTGGATATAAAAGGAGGTTCCATTTTCATAATACATCCTAACATTATTTAGCTTTAGAATCAACCCTCTCCAAGGGTGATTCATAGTAATCTTTTGGCCAATACAAGATCTTCATCTTTTTCTTCTTTAATTTATCGTCTTTTAATTTTCGCTCTTTATTTTACGTTCTTTTACGATTATTGTCACTTACATTCCGTTATTTAATTTTCATCATTTACATTCTTGTCATTTACTTTATCGTTATTTATTTTCTCGTCATTTACTTTACGCAATTTACATTTATGTCTTTACTTTCCGTCATTTATTTTACTTGTAATTTACTTTCCGTTATGAGTAGCTAAGCTTTTATAGCTTGGGTATGAGACGGAAATGTGAGATTTTCAAACCAAAAGAAAGTAGCTAAGTGTTTTCGTAAACGACGTTCCATTGTTTCATTCGAGTTTTTATAAAAACCAAGCACACTTCTTGACGAGTTGATCACTTTGAAAGTGTTAAAGTGTCATGGACTTAAAGATAAGCCATTGAATGCACGTCAACTTGAATGACATAAGAGGTAGACTTGAGAAAGTTGTCGACAAGGAGACTTGTCATTTATGTTTTTCAAAACTTAACTCCCGACGGGTTGACCACTCTTCAAAAGTGTCAAAGTGCGATAGATTCAGAGATGAACTATCTAAGAACACACGCCAACTCGAATGATATGGGAATCAACTCGAGAGAGTGAATTTTAACAAAAAGATTTATTTATCCAAATATTTTGAAAACACCATCTTGTCACTATCCCTGGTCCGGACACCACATAGAGATATAGGTAGAAAGCTATAATATAGTGCAATGGTGAAGTCCGAGAGGAATACCTTCAAAATAGATGGTGGAAATTAGTTTCGAAACACTTCTTACTGTAGCATTCCTACAACATTGACTACTGGAATTTGTGTTTGGGTCTCATCTTAAGTCTTACACCCTTGCTACTTTTATATATTTTGTATTCTGTTTTAATTCACCTTAACATCAAACTGAAGTTTTCAAAATCGTCATCTGAAATCATCTCTTTCATTGGACTCTCATTTAACTTTGGCTACAATCTCCGTGGACGATAATCCGGTACTTGTACCACTTTATTACTTGGAAAGACGACATTGGACCGTATTGTATAATTGCTTTGTGGTCCAATTTTCTTAGTCTAAAGGTGTGAGATATAACCGACCATGTACCTAAATTAAATTATAATAAAAAAT